TGCCCTCATGTGCTTGCTTGTGTGTGTTTCGGTGTGTGGGAGGGGAGGCAGGTGAGAGCCTGCGTGTGTGTATGGGGGTGTGTGTATCTGGGAGTCCGCACGTGAACCTCGGGCTCTGCGTCTGAGTGGGTTTGAATGGCAATTTCTTTGTATATGTGTGTGTATTTGTGTGTGTATTTGTACCACTTTTTTCTGAGTGTTGGTTTCAGGGAAATGTGGGGTTAAGATGGGGCCATAAACCACACACGCGACCCAGTCTGTCTGCTTCCCAGTTCACTTCCTCTATTACAGAGTTGATGTCTCTACAGTAGAGCTCCTGCCTTCAGTGACTGTATCATAAAAGGACACCGTCCAGGGAATAGGGAAGTCCTTTGGTGAGTGGGGCTCAAAGTCCCTGACCTTATCCTCTGACCCTGTGTCTCCACCTCCTCCCTTAAAACTGCTCTCTAGGAGCACTTCTTTAGCGCTGAGGTGTCATTGACTATCATGACATTATGTGGCTTTTGTTTTTAAACAGGGAGCCAGGAGGTTTGGGGGGAGGAAGCATGAATCTCGGATCTCAGACCTGCCCTCCAAGAGGAAGGTCTCCTGTGCCGCCCTTGGTCCAGGCCCTGCTCCCTCCCTCCTGGCCATGACCTCCCACAGCTCTTCCTCTTGTCCCTTCTGTCCCCTACCATTCAGTCTCCACCCAGCAAAGACACTAGACCCTGTCTCTTGCCTGATTAAGACCCTCTTGTCTTTATCACTTATCACACCAAATAAAATGTCCAAGCTCCCCACGGCCTTGCAGATCCTGCGTGGCCTGGCCCCACCTGGTGCTGCCACCCCCTGGCGGCCACCTGCACATCTGTGCCAGCCGCTCCAGTCTTTGGAACACCTCAAGCTCTTTCCTTCCTTGGGGCTTTGTACATACTGTCCCCTTGGCCTGGAATGTGCTTCCCTCAGGTCTCCTCCACTGGGCCTTCCTTGACCTCTGTCCCCAGCCCTGCTGCACCAGAGTTGCTCTGTGTTACATCCAGACCTTGCTCCTTTGATACTGCTTATTGTGACCGGCAAGTCTTGTGCTTACACGTTTGTGTTCTTTCTGTGGACAGGGCCTTGTGTGTCCTCTGTGTTCCCAGAACCTAGCCCAGCCCCTGAAAACACTTGGTCCCTTAGTAAAGTTTGTTGAAACAAGTGAGGCTCAGAGGCTGATCACCAGCCCAAGGCCACGCAGCAGGGAAACAGGATGAGCCAGGATTCAAACTCAGGATGCTCTGGACTGCAAAATGCACATACCTAACCCCTCTTCCTGCCTCTCTCCTGCCACGGTTCTGGACTGCCTACTGCATGTGGATCACATGAACAGCGTGTGGGCCCGTGGGCATCCCGTGTGTGAGTGTGTGTGTGTGTGCACCTGTGTGCATGAACATGGGAGCATGTAGGACAAAGGAGGGCTCTGCCCAAGTAGAGTGTCACCCATCTACTCCAAAGTCTTCTTGATGTCTCCACCTCCCATTCATTTGTGCCCCTGTGTGAGGATTTGTTCCTTATACTCTCATGAGGTCGCATCACAAGGCATGTCCCTCCTCCCTACCCAACCTCTTCCCTGCTTTGTGCTTCCAAACCAGGCCCCAAACACGTGACACGTTTAACGAAATCAAAATGCCAACTCAAGGATAAGTCATCCAGTGCTCAAGCTTTAATCAGTGTTGCGTAGAAATCACTGTAGTGACACGTTCCTGCAAAGAGTTTGACTTCTTCCTTCTATTCCATGCATGATGGCGTTTCTCATCTGGGTGAAACACACAGGAACAAAGCCGTGGGGTGCCATCTTAGTTGTACTTTCATCCTAAGAGACAGGAATGGGAAAGGGAGCCTTTAGTAGCTGAGTGCTTCCTAAAGTCACTTAACTGTCTCCGCTGGGTTTTGGATGCTCATGTGTATTTGAATATGGGGCATGGATAGAACTGAGACAATCATTAAGGTCCTTTTGACTTGCAAATCCATCCATGTATCCCATCCATTTATCATACATCCATGAATGAATTGGATGGGTGAATGACTGGATGACTTACTGGATAGATGATAAGAATAACCACATGGACTGACGGTGGTGGTCCTGGGGCCTGCCTGGCAAGCCCACCTCCCCAGCAAGATTTAAAGCCAGGAGATTTAGAGTCAGGTTCAAAGCCCACTTTGTTCTGATGTCCAATCTCGGGTAGTTCGTTTTGGTTTTCAAGGCCTGGTTTCCTTATCTGACAAAGGAATGTCATCCCTTCCTTCCTGGTATTCTTGTGAGCCTGAGATGCCTGTCAAGCCACAGGAGGCCCTTGAAAACTGTTTCCCTCCCTCGATTCCTGCCTGCCGACTCAGCTCCCTTCCCTGCTAATGAGGGCCCTGCATCCCTGCTCAGACCTCCTGTGGAAGAAAGCCCACCTGTGTGTGCACACGGGGCCCGGTGTGAGCTCCCTAGTCTCGGGTGTTCTCTCCACAGCCACCCACCCCTCCCCACGCCTTGGCTGAAGCCCTTGGTCTTAGCTTTTGGCCACTCTCAGCCTGCCCCTCCCCTCAGGAAACTCCCTCCATCTCCATCTCCCCTCCCACTGGCAGGCCCCCCAGCCCATGTCTACTTACCCCTTTCTATAGCTTGTGCACAACTTTGCTATCGTCTGCTCTTATTGTAGTTTATTTCTTAATAAACATGTCATAGCACTCACGGTGAAAACCACCCTCATTTACAGAGCACTTCCTACGTGGCTGGGCTCCGTCCAGGCCCCACTCCTTCTAGGCGGCTTTAGTGACCCTTCATTAGTGGGCTGAACAGTGGCCCCTCCAAAAGATGTGTGTCCACATCCTAACCCCTGAAACCTGTCAGTGTGACCATATTTGGAAAAAGCCTCTTTGCAGATGTAAGGATATTTAGAGCATCCTGGATTATCCAGGTGGGCCCTAAATCTAATGGCTAGTGTCCTTATAAGAGACAGAAGAGAAGGCTCAGGGAGAAGAGACCATGGGAAATCAGAGGCCAAGATTAGAGTTGTGCAGCCACAAGCCACCGTGAGCTCGACAAGGGAGGGAGGATTCTCCCTTGGGGCCTCCGGGGGAATGTGGCCCAGAGAACTCCTTGATTTCAGACTTCTGGCCTCTAGAAGTGAAAGGATACAATTCTTTTGTTTTAAGCCACCAGGTTTGTGATCATTTGTTACAGCAGCCCTGAGAAACTAATGTACCCTGTGAGGTAGGTACGATTGTTACATTTTACAAAGGGAGAGCAGGCTCAGAGAGGCTGAGTAACCAGCCCAGAGTCCCACAGCTAGTCAGTGGTGGAGCCAGGATTCAGAGTCGGGCCTGGTCCCCTCTAGTCCAGCCTCGTGGTCACTAAGGCCTCCGAGGGGATTAAGGAGGCACGTGCGGCTCTGTTCTAACGGCCCTGCCTGGTGTGGTCTTAGTAGGGCTGGTTGGGGGCCACGCGGTAAAGACTGTGTCTGGGTCTCTGGACCCTCTCCACCACTCCCTGCACGCCTCCACTCTGACTGCCAACTTCCCCAGCCTCGAGTGTGTAGTGGGACAGAGACTGTGTTTATTGATCCCAGGGCCCATACTGTATGACTGGCACGGTGCCTGGCATACAGTAGGGGCCCAACAAATGTTTGCTGGGCAGATGAACGGGCGGGTGGATCTGTAGGCCTTGGACAAAAGGACGAAGCTGCTGACCGACTTGCTTGGTCAGGATGGGGGTGGGTGGTCACAGACAGCAGGGCCACCTCCTTCAAGCCTCAGGTGCCGTGGGCCATCTGCAGGCCTCAGTGGTGGCCTCCTCTTTGAGTAGCCCAAGGCCTCTCCTTACCCCTCACCCAGCCCCCAAAGAAATAGAGACGTCCCTGGAAATACTGCCTCCCCACCCCTCACAGCAGCCCTGATCAGGATGCTTCGCGGGCTCAGATGGCTGGTGCTTGGGGGCTATTGAGGGAAGAGGGTGGAGATCACATTTGTTATTTCTATTGGAAAGAAAAAGGTTGAGGGAGCCAGGGACGGGAGGGGCAGCAGACACTTTATGATGCTTCTTGAAGAGGGCCAGAGTGATGGACCCAGGGTCTGGGTCTCAGGTCTGTGTCTGGCCCCTTCTCTGGGCTTCCTTTGCCCATTGCTCTAATGAGGGCATTGGCTCTGCCCCCACAGCTGGAACCCTTGAACAAGGCAGAAGTGAGCCTCTCATGAGGGTACAGATGGTCACCTTGAGTGTAGGGATGGCAGAAGAATCAGTGGCTGAGAAGGACTCAGACCCCTCCAACCTGCTTAGCCCCCAAAACCGGGGCCTGCGAGTCGGATGGAACCACCGTGGCTCCAACAACAGTGCCCGCCTTGGTGAAACACTCACTGCGTGCCAGGCCCAGTCCCACCCAGCGTTTCAGTCAATTCTCCCGACCCGCTGACCTGTGGGTAGCTATTAACATCACCCTTAGGCAGGGAGGGCAGGCTGAGTTTCAGAGGCAGACAGCGACTTGCTCAGTGTCACACAGCGAGCACAAAGAAATTGGAAGCAGGTCTGCTGACCTCCCAAGTCCGTGCTCTTTAAGACCGTTTTATGGTTAGAGCAGCAAAATGGGGGTTTGCAGAGGGAGATGATACTGTCCCATCAGGTGCTCTCAGGCTGCATCTGCTCAGACTCGGGGAGGAATCTTCCCTGGAGACGGGACTGGCTGAGGTGACTTTCTAGCCCAGGCTACCACATTCTCCACCCTCTGCAGCACGGGACGGCGGCTGAGAAGTGACGGGGAGTGGACCTTGTGAGGGCTTCCGGCTGGAGTTCAGGGACAGGGGTCAGTGACTCCTGCTCTTCAGCCTCCCTGCACACACGCACACGTGCACGCGCGGTGCCACGGGCACAGGGTCGGGGTGTGGCGGCAGGGGGAGAGCAGACAGGAGGAGGATTCCTTGGAGACTCTTTATTTACTCTTTTCTGCAAGTTCTTCTCTCTGGAACGGCGACCGGCACCTCTTCCCGGGCCACGTCATGGGTCAGGACTGCGTCTGCTTGGGCTTGGGGTTCTTCTGGACCACAGAGTCGTCTTTGGCACCTTCCTCCTGCCACTCAGGCTCCAGCAGCAGCAGCTTGCCCTGCACCGGGAGTTCCTCCGCCTCTCCCTCTGGCTCTCCCTCCTCCTCACCCTCCGACGACAAGGAGAAGTTGTCCTGGCTCACGCAGACCACAAGTTTCTTCATGGAGGATTCGTGGCCCCGGCCGTGGCCCGTGCCGAGCTTGGCACAGTGGGAGCCCGTTGCCCACTTTGGCTGCCTCTCTGGACTGGGAGGAAAGGCCACTGGTGGGGTATGGAGGGGCCATCGAGGGTGGTAAGCAGAGCGCTGACATCACAAAGGGGATGTCACCCTGGGATACCTGAGTCTGAGCCGACACCTGAACTCAAACCTAGGCTACCAGCTGTCCCACTGAGCCCCTGCCACATACGGGGCAGGACCGAGGCCAAATGCCGGGCCCACACCCGTGCAGCCTCGCCCTGCCGTGTCGCCTCCTCCATCTGGCCTTGTTTGCCCTGGCAAAAGTTCCCCTTTTAGCTGGGATGAGAGTTGGGGATAGAATTTCCAGAAGCAGGAGAGCACACAGACTCCTCTCCACATCCCAGAAGTATCCAGCCCAAGAGAGCTGCTGACAGTATGTGATGAAAAGTAGCCACGAGGGAGCCTTCCAGGGGGCACTGGCAATGTCTGGCTTCTTGACCTGCATACTTAAAACATGTGCACTATACTTTTATAAAACTAAAGAAAACCCTACTCACTCCCTCCTGTTCTCCAAAATCACCCTTTAAAGGCAGCGGCTTGTAAGCTTTTGGGGCCACCAGCCTCTAGCTACACAGCCTCTAGCTACACATGCCCATCCAGCACAATTTCAGCCTGGGAGGGGGTTAAGTCTCCTTGGTCATTTCTGAGCACTAGGAATCTGTTTTCTGACATATAATATAGATACTGTCCCAGATTCTCAGTGGCTGTGGTAGGCTGAGAGGAAAGAAACTAATGTACCCCGTGAGGTAGGTACGATTGTTACATTTTACAAAGGGAGAGCAGGCTCAGAGAGGCTGAGTAACCAGCCCAGAGTCCCACAGCTAGTCAGTGGTGGAGCCAGGATTCAGAGTCGGGCCTGGTCCCCTCTAGTCCAGCCTCGTGGTCACTAAGGCCTCCGAGGGGATTAAGGAGGCACGTGCGGCTCTGTTCTAACGGCCCTGCCTGGTGTGGTCTCAGTAGGGCTGGTTGGGGTTGAAGACTGTGTCTGGGTCTCTGGACCCTCTCCACCACTCCCCGCACCCCTCCACTCTGACTGCCAACTTCCCCAGCCTCGAGTGAGACGGGGAGATGATAGGGAGATGATCCTGGATTATCTGGGTGGACGCTGAGTGCAACCACAAGCGTCCCTCTGAGAGGGAGGTAGAGAGATTTCACACAGGATGCAGAGACTGGAGATGCGGCCACAGCAGAGGAATGCCAGGGATTACGAGGAGTCCCCAGAAGCTCAGAAGAGGCAGGAATGGATTCTGCCCGTGAGCTTCCATGGCCCTGTTGTGATAATGAGGGTCCCATCTCAGAATCGTAGCGGCCCACGAGGCCTCACCCAATTCTGCCCCTTGCCTTTTGTTCCCCCCACGCTGGCCTTGTTCTTGCTGGAGCACATGCTAGACCTGCTTCCCGTCTCGTAACAAGTCACACTTTCCCCAGCTGTCCAACACCCCTTCAGGTTCTTCACACGGGCTGGGAGTTGACAAGGAAATGGAAGGTCAAGGAGGGAGTAGTGTGGCCTTGGGCATCATGATGGCTCCGGGTGAGAGGACACGCACGGGGTCACAGGGTAACACACCAGCACGGTACTCAAGGATGAGCCCCCTGCCCTGACCCCATGGTGAATAGAAGCCTTGTTTGTGCCGTTTGCATAATGGAGACCCTGACAGGCCAGCAAGTTTCTTATCTCAAGCTTTATCTGGCAGATGACTTTTGCTCATTTTACTCAAGATCTTGTGGGCTCCTTGCAAACTCGGGGCTTGGGCATCCGAGGGGGACTTGCTGTGGTCTCGCGAGGTGCTTCCTGGCAGGCAACTCTTCCTGGTGGGCCCAGGGAGGCTGGGAGCTGCCTTATTCTCCTTCTCCCTATCCTTCTGCAGCCTTTTGGAAAAAGTTCTAGTTACGGGGCTATCTGGGGAATCTGGGTGGGGAAGGGCTTGGGGGGCTTTCAGACAGGGTGGGGTCCCAGCACTGCACAAGCCCCCCGCCTATGGCTCCTGTCTGTCACGATAGGGCCTCTGTGGGTCCTCCCGTAGATCGGGACATCCTCCAGCCTCAGGTCCTGCACCTGCTGCAGGCGCTCACTTTCGCCCTGCTGCGGACGGGGACCTTTGCTCGGACTCCTCAGGCGGCATCCGACCATCGTGCTCGTGGGTGGGGCGGCTGGGGCTGAGGCTGAGGCTGCAGCTGGCCTTGGGGGTGGGGGGAGGAGGCTGAGGCCTGCCCTCCTGCTCTTACTGTTAACAGTGTTGGTCGGGTCTGTCGGCAGCTCTCTGGGGCCTTGTGTATAAGGAGTGTGTAAGTCCCCCCACCTTGGCCCCTTCTGTGAAAGCAGCACAGAGCGCGGCAGCCGCCCCTCACCCCGCCCGTAAAACGTGTCTCTGTGCCTCATAAAGGGGGGACTCTCACAATAAGAGCGCCAGCCTTCTTGTCCAAATCCAAGCCCTCATTCCCCACCCCCTCCAGCTGGTGCGAATCCACACGTAGTCCTTCCAGAAGCTTCCTCACCGCCTTTGCAGCTGTGCCTTTGCAGCTGTGCCGGGGTCTCTCAGGGGTCGGGGTGGGGCTTATCTGTCCACAGAGTTATCTTGTGCTTACTCTATGCCAGAAATTCCGGAAATTCCATACATTTACTCATTAACTGAGGCTCGAAGAGGTTAAGTGACTTGCTCATGGTCCCTGCAAATAAGAGGCAAGGCTGGGCTTCAGACTCCATGCCCTTGGCCCTCCGCCCCCTCCTCAGCCCCGGGGACACTCTTCCCTCCTCCAAATATGTCCCCTTCCCTCCACCTCTGGCCTCCTCCTGCACCTCTCACTGTACTTTGATGACCCATTAAAATCCAGAATCGGAGTCATAGCAACTGCAGGGAGGATGTGGTAGACACATTAATGCCTCCTCCCAAAGATGTCTGTGCCCTAAGCCCTGAAGCTGTGACTGTCACCTGACGTGCAGAAGGGACTTTCTGGATGTGAGTGACTTAAGGAGATAGAAGATTCAGTGTGGGTTCAGTGTAATCACGTGTGTCCTTATAAGATGGGAGAGGGAGACAGGAGGGTCACAGGAAGAGATCTGAAGATGGTACTCCACTGGCTTTGAAGGCGGAGGGAGGGGCCCCGAGCCCAGGAAAGCCAGAGGCCTCTAGGAGCTGAAAGACAAGGAAAAAGGTTATGCTTCCCGAGAGCCTTCAGAACCTGCTTGCACCTTGCTTTTAGCACCATAAGGCCCATGTGAGATAATAAATGTGCGTTTTAAGCTACGAAGTTCGTGGTAATTTATTACAATGGTGATAGGAAACTAATACAGAGGCCTCTTATATTCGTGCCCTCAGGCTCCCCCAGGGCACTTGCTCAAAATACGAATGCCCAGGCCTTACCCCCAGACCCTGCTAAGTCAGAATCTCCATAGCTGGAGCTTGATCTGTTTGTAAAAGCCTGCCCGGGGATCCATGTTCAGCCGTCCTGCCAGCGTCTTCTGACTGGCTGTGGAACCAATCTAGTAGTCGGGTCGTGGAAGCGAGTTCATCTCCCAGCTCAGTGGCCTCACCTGCAAAGACGAGGCCGTCAATACCTGCCTTGCAGGTTGGGTGTGAGGCCTGGAAGTGGCGAATGCCCAGTACCTGTGCTCTATAAATGGAAGGCATGGCCGCGACGTTTCTGTGGCCCTGTCAAGGCAACTGGGTCAGGGTTCTGGTCACTGATGAAATGCCCTGGGCTTTGCTCTGCAATGAGATCGTGACCCAGGCTCTTGTGTTAAAAGATCTGACAGTTCTCTTTGAGGCCAGGGGACGGAAGTGTTTTGTGAACCACCTTCACATATCTCAGTGTATCCTATGGTTAGTGGACCAAGTTACCTTGTTTCTTCAGCCAGGGATGATATTGTACCCGAGGATTAAATGAAAGCTTAGCTCAACCACTGTCTGGACAGGTTACTCTCACTGTACCCAAATGGAGGCATCTTTTAAAAAACGGGAATTTCGGCATCTGGCACCTTGGGGAATTGGTGGGATGTAGTGATGGCTGGTGAATCGAGCTTGAGCTGGGAAATGTTTACTGGCTCTCGGGGGTGGGGAGTAGGGGTGGCAAGCCAGTCTCGATTGGTAGCATTTGCCAGTTTGTGGCCCATTTCAGGCTGCCAGCGGAAAGCCACTGAGCACAGAGCTGGAGAGCGTGCGTTCAGAAACCAGCACGGCCGTGGGGCCTGTAAAGGGGTGGCCGGGTGGGGGGGGGGGCAGATTTGGGTTGTGACTTGGGAGTAGTCAAGAGTTTGAAACAAGATCCCGTGAGACAACCATCCCTCGCGTCCCCTCTTCCCGGTGTCCCCAAGCCCTCCTCGCCACTGAGTCCCTGAAAGTAAAGAGACGAGAGTGACATTTTTCCTTCAACGTTTATTGACAGGCGGCATTGTTCGCTGGCAGGCTCCTGTTCATTTCATCGGAACGGTGGCATGTTCGAGATGTGGCAAGAGGCCGGGGGGGGGGGGGGGCAGATTTGGGTTGTGACTTGGGAGTAGTCAAGAGTTTGAAACAAGATCCCGTGAGACAACCATCCCTCGCGTCCCCTCTTCCCGGTGTCCCCAAGCCCTCCTCGCCACTGAGTCCCTGAAAGTAAAGAGACGAGAGTGACATTTTTCCTTCAACGTTTATTGACAGGCGGCATTGTTCGCTGGCAGGCTCCTGTTCATTTCATCGGAACGGTGGCATGTTCGAGATGTGGCAAGAGGGTCTTGAAGGCTGGTAGCGTTTCAGGCAGGAGTGTGGTGGTCTTGCTACTGGGCGCTTACTGTTTTGCACACCTCATTGTGGTGTAGCGGCGGCAGCACACTGCGGAGAACGAGGGGGCGAGAGCAGACTTCAGCATATGGGCTGAACCCCCAGCTCCACCCCAGTTCCCCGGCCCCCACCCACGGAGCGGACCCCCTCACCTCTCCTCCGCCTCTGGCAGCATCGCCTCCTCCTGCTACGATATTTGCGTCTCGGGCGGCGGCCTCTGCTCTGGCTTGGGCTGCGGCATCTGTTTCTGGCCATGGTGACGGATGGATTCGGCCTGGATGCTCAGAGCAGGGGATACTGCCTTGGTTGAGCCAGCCAACCTGTGAGCAGGTGGAACTTTGTGGGCTGTGAGCCAGGGGCTGACCCCTGGGCCTCTTATAGGTGTGGCGAGGGCCCTGGTCATTGTAAGGTCACAGAGGCCTGGACCTCACAGACCAGGGCCAGAGCCGGCCTGCATCATGTCCACATATGGGCATGTGGGAGGCCCTTGCTGAAGGAGGCGGGCCCGTGATGCGTGTGGGCCCCCAGGTCATCAGTGGAGGGGAGACGAGGTGACTTCCCTATAAGGACACTCACTCGCTCCTTCACTTAGTCAGTCAGTCAGTTTGCAAAACATCACTGAACACCTGCTATGTGCCAGATTCTGGCGAGGCCCCAGCACACAGTGATAAACAAGGCAGATGTGTTCCTGCCTAATAAACTTTACAGTCTAACTACAGGAAACGTGAATGAAATTACCACGCAGAGTAACTATAATTGTGAAAAGTGCCGAGGAGAGGAACTTCAGGTTTTTATGAGAATGCGTGTTGTGGGGGGCTTGACCTCAGGAGAGGCCCTAGGAAAGCCTCCTAAGGAGGATGAGTCAGAATGGGAGGTGGGAAAAGCATCTGGGAAGAGGGAACGGCTGTTGCGAAGATCAGAGGCAGCACGTGTGTGTGATTTCACTCACGTGAAATGTCCAGAGAGGGAGAGCCAGAGACACAGAGATGGGTGGGTGGTTGCCTAGAAGCGGCTAGAATGGGAACGGCTGCTCAGCGGGGGCAGGATCTCCTTTTGGGGTGATGAACATGCTTGGGACCCAGAGAGTAGCGATGGTTACCCAACGTTGTGATTGTACTCAATGCCACTGAATTTTCACTTTAGAAGGCTGGATGTTACATGATGTGAATTTTACCTCAATTGAAAAAAGAAAGTTCTGAGGCTGAAAGGTGCTTGAAAGGTGTAAGGAATCAAAAGGAGGCCCAGGGGGAGGAGCAGAGACTGTGGCGGAGGGGGGCAAGACAGGGCCAGACCACTTTCAGCTTCGTCTAACCTTTCCCACATCCCCATGAACTTGAGGGATAAAGAGGGCAGTGGTTAGAATTCGATTTCATTAATTATAAAAGGAAACCAAAAGAAGTGACTTTGGCATAGAAGTTTTGTTTCATCGCAGAAGTCAGAGGTGATTTGGATGGTCATTAGAGTGTCTTGTTTGGGGGATCCACACACTGGAGTATTTGGGGATAATGGGTATCATGTTTGCCAACTGCTCTCAGGTGATTCAGAAAAAGAACAGTAACAAGGGATGTGTATCTACATAGAGAAAGAGGGAGAGGGAGGGAGGGAGGGAGGAAGGGAGTGGGAGTGGAGTAAGTGGAATAGAATGTTAACAATTGACCAGTCTGGATGAAGGGAAGTTCTTTGTATGGTTCTTGCAACTTTTCTCTAATTCGAAGTTATTTCAAAATAAATTATTGAGATAATTAAAAAAAAAAAAAAAGGGAAAAAAGTCAGGAGGAAGGCCTTCCAGGGCTGTTATAAGGACTCCACCCTTAACAAGGGCCCAGACTTCTTTTATCTTTCGCCTATGCCCTAGGCAAGTACTTTCCATCCTCAAGGTTGCCTCGGAGTCCAAAATCAGGGCTGCCATGGACGGTTGTGCAGTTCGTGTACTGCTCAAAGCTCTCAGCCAGGGGATTGAATGGTGCAGGCCAAGCCCAGCTCCCATGCTTCTGCCCATGGGAGCTATCTTTTTCTAATTAGACTGCTCACAGTGGAAGTCTTTCCTAATTTGAACAAAGGCACATTAAGGGCTAGCCTTGGCCCTGCTGGAAATTCAGCTCTATCCACTGTGCAAGAATAAATGAAGAAGAAGAAAGGGGGCGGGGGGGGGCAAAGGAGTTATAACTCTATAAGGAGCTTTCCCAGACACCCCCACCCAGCAACTTCTTCTGATCACTTTCCTTACCATGAGAGCACCCTGCCCCTGAGGATAAAGCTGTGGTTCTTAGGAAGGAGAACGGGGCCAGTGGATAGTTAATACCCAGAGGGGGTGCACCCAGAAACTTCCAGGACCCCACCCCGCAACCCACAACAAGGTGGGAAAACCATGAAT